ATATATGAGATATATATAAGAGATATATATGATATAATAGAGATATATATATAGATATATAGAGAAGATATATATATATATAGGAAGATATATATTATTAATATAGAGAGAGATATATATATATAGCTATATATAGAAGAATATATTATATATATAGAGAGAGATATACTATATTTATATAATATATATATATAGAGAGATAATATATTAATATATATATATATATATATATATATATATATATATATATAGAGAGAAGAGAAGAGAGATATATACTTAATATATAATATAAATCTATATATATTTATATATATCCAGTTACATGATATAACTACAGTTGGCTGATGACTACCTCCATTAATGCAGATGTGAATTTGTTTTTTTTACCTTGATTGTATTCCCCATCTGTATTTAGCTAGTTCCAACTCGACGGCACTGCAGTCACAAGCCAATTTCATCATTTCAGTATGAAAAATGTTCATTTTACTGTTGCATTTAGTTTGTGTATTTATAAAGTTCATTTCAGATTTAGTTTCAAGCATGGCTCCAGGGCCTCAGAACACATATCTAGATACCCACCACTCACTTCCATCAATTACAGTACATTTAATTGACAGTTTTGTTCAAAGCAACTTCCATTTTTTTCCTATCTACGCATATTGGGAGCAATTTGGGGTTCAGTGATTTCCCCAAAGACATTTCAACATGTGGACAGGTGGAGTTGGGAGATAGAAACACCAACCTATCTCTACCACCTGAGCAACAGCCACCTCTATCCATGCAGGAAATTAAAACAATGCTATTGTATGTCATTTTTACGGTATGTGGAACTAACTCAGTTAAGACAGTACCTAAAGTATATTTTTCCTGAGAGCCAAAGGCGCCATCCAGCAGTCTTGCACTGGAACACAACTTTAAGAATAGATTTTGACACAGCACGCCTCTACAGAGCTTAAAGACCAAACAAAGGGCCACTCCTAAAACCCATGCAACTTAAATTAATATTGTACTGACACAATATTGTAAAATGTTAAATCTGCAAACAAAAACTTTTTATACACAATGAACTTCAATTCAATTTTTTTTCAATTTCAATTTCAAATAGCAAAGAATTGAAACAGGAAAGCTGTTTACATTACTTCCTAATACTTAGATGTCACCCAGTTGATCCCTACATGACATAATATAATTATTAATGTGATAATTTATCTTTTGTAACACATTACAAGAGAGCTGTTTTAGTTTTCTCTTCTTTATTTCTTATAATACAACAACAAATAAAGTATAAAACATGGGTATGCGTACTAAAAGGAACACATATGTAACATATATGTAAGCACATATGTAAAATAGAAGAATAAACAAAAAAAGACAAAAAAAAATAAATATAACGCTATGAGCGGTGGATTCAATGTTAAAAAAACACTATAACATTTAACAGAAATAGTAATGCAATAGAAGCGGTCTGAGATCATAACAAGGTCTACGTCTTGAGTGCGTTGGCAGCGTCAATAACGCTACTCTTTGCGTCATTGCGTCATTTCCGACGCAGGCGCAAAATACCATTTTCTGTCGCGTGTGCGGCCTCTCTTCCTCCACCGCCATCATGGGTCGCATGCACGCTCCCGGGTGAGCTCCCTTTTTATCGTTTAAAGTTAATATTTTATATCGTTTGACCGGTTTTCATGGTACGATATGGTTTCTAAACATGTTATGAGTGGCCGAGGACCAAATTGAGCCGTTCATTGCAACCCAGAAAGGAGAAAATCACTTAAATATCTGCTCCCTTAGATCGACATCCATCTCCAGCTAGCTAGCATTAGCCGACCACACTGGCGGCTCACCGCGAGTTTTTCTTTACGACTTCGGCTTTAAAGTTAGACAGTTATATATTATACAATTACATCCCAAATGCAAGAATTTTACATGTTGTTGACGAAGACATTAAACCCCTGTAAGGCAAGAACTTGAGAGGTTTTACAATATCTATCACTAGCATGACTATTAAGCTATCGTTAGCTGGCCCATCGAGAAACTGGTTTCCTTCGTTGCTGTTGAACTCACATGTGATGTTTTCTGTTCTCTGTTCGCTGCCGTAGTGTTTGACCAGTCCATGTCTGTCTCTTTTACAGAAAGGGCTTGTCCCAGTCAGCTCTGCCTTACAGGCGCAGTGTCCCCACTGTGAGTACATACATGTGTTCTAGTCTCGTACAGTTACATTAGTCAATTGTTTCTTGGTCGTCTCGTTCATGTGGCAATCATTTTAAATATCACTTGCAGTGGCTGAAGCTCACATCTGATGATGTCAAAGAGCAGATCTTCAAGCTGGCCAAAAAGGGTCTGACCCCCTCTCAGATCGGTAAGTGCTTCTGGACACATTATAGGACTAGAAACTCACTAATGGTTGTGTGTGTGTGTGTAATGGTGATCTGCTCACTGACGGTGTGAATACGAGCTATATAGCCGTTTAATAGTTCATACAGTTGTTTTAAAGTAGATTTCATTTTGTGTAGCATTGGCCTGGTAAGTGTGTGATAGCAGAACTAGCATGTTCGCTATCTTCTTCATACAGTGTGAATGTTATAATAGCAACAAAATTATAGTTAAACCGTTTTCTTTAAAACAAAGATTACCAACATTTTGGCATTTAAAACAGTTTTGTTAAAAACTCTTACAACTCTTGCATACGAGACAGTTTTTTTTTTTTTAAACAGACATTTTAATAACAGGTGTCTGTAGCTTCTGATGTGACCACTGTCAAATTGTAAAGTGAATACAAATTGAATAATTTTACATCTTACTAACGTTCACCACTTAGACACAGTGTATATCCATATCCAATAGGGCATGTTGTGATAACTTCACTAATTCAACAGTCACATGCTGTAGCATATATAAAATGAGTATCTAGCTTGCTATTGCATTAAACTAACACAGCGCACCGCTACTCTCTGCAATACTACATTGCACATCAGCTGCCAAGTACGCTTTGTGAACTTGCTCCACTGGGATGTTAACTAGCACAGGCCAGAACAAAGCACAGTTCAGACACAACACTGGTCAGCAGTCTGTGCACACCAAGTGAACAAAAATCTTACATTAAAACAAGAGACAAAGTGCAGGGTGGAATTTTGGGGGTCTCTGTAATGATTTTCTCTAGTAATAACGTAAGTGGGTTCATGAAGACTACTTTTTAACCTTTTTAGTGTTGTAATTTTATACAAAAAATGTATTGCAGTATATATTAATGGTAAAGTAAAGGGTAAAGTTGGCACTCTGACACAAACAGATTAAGATGTCATTTAATAAAACTATTGAATCCCTTCCTGCTAAATATTTTTCATCCCTCAAGCTTTACTTGTTATATTTAGGTTGGAAAAAGAACATCTGTCACCAGTCAAATGCTGGTCAGTTTTGTATGTGGCCAGTTTGCCACCTGCCGATGTTCTTTTCTGGAGACAGTATGATGAGTCGGATGCACCTTTTCTAATCCGAATTTGCTGATAAAATGTAATTTGGCAAACATTTTAAAAAGTCAATTCTTTTTTGTTATTAAAAATGATGACAAACACGTGTCCATAGAAACAAGCTGTTCCTCATTAGCATACATGCATGGAACGATGCACAATTCATTGTCCTGCTCTTCTTATTGAGAGTAGTGATATTTCTTCTGTGCTAGAAAAAGGTTGGAGGTAAATTAGCAGAGTGGCTACTTGGTGCCACATCTGCCAGTCCCCTTCACACAGTGAAATGATGTTTTAGATGCTTTCCTCTATATTCAATTATATTTTAGACATTAAACTGTTATTTCGGAGTACGTTTTTTTTTTTTGGTAATTATGCTTGGAACTAAATGTAAGGATTGTGATTGGTCACATTGATTATATAGCATACACTACAGAAACTGACACTACATACTGGGCTGGTAATTTAGCAGAGTGCTCCCTCTAATGGTTTGTCTTCTCTCTCTGTTCACAGCGAGTCTTCTACAGCTTCTGCTCTGGTGGCATAAACTCAACACTTTTTGGATTAATAAAAGAATTTAAATTGGAAATTGTCTTGTGTTGTCTTGTATTTTGCAGATTTTGTATTTACACTTTGGAATCTAGTAAAAATGAGTGCTTTAGTGATAAAACCATTGCTTTTGGTGTAATAGCAGCTCATTAACAGACATTGTGTGTATGTGTAGTAACATAAACTTAAAATAAATACTTGTGGGAAAGTGAAACTGCACCCTTATTTGAAGGAAAGTTTGCTAGGAGTCCTCCTTACCTTTCCTGAATTAGCTAATTTCGTTTTAACCCATTATTTTAATGTTATGAATGTAAAAGGCAATAGAAAGGGCTTTCCTGGTGGGCGAGGAAGTTACGGGCACTTTCCACGCGTCAGACGTTACGTAACCTGTGGGCGGGAGGTTCGGTAAGTGAAACCCGTTCTGTCCAATCAGCGGCGCCTGACGTCAGGCTGGTTTCTTTTAAGAGATCGTGTTGCAACATCGAGACATTCACCTCAACGAAGACAACACGACTGATAAACATGGAGAAAACACATGAGCGCATTTGACGAAGGAGACTAAAGAAAATGGCACAGACTTGCCGGAAAATGAAGCGACAGCACATCGACGCATATCGGTCACTGACAAATACGCGAAATCTCTTGGTTTTCGACGAGGAATACCAGAATACGTGAGGATTTTTTTTTTCAACATCACCGCCACGATCCGAGCAGAGGACAGAGCTAAAAAAAAAAAAAAATGGCTACGATAGTTGGTCCCGAGAAGGGTTCTGAACGGACGGCGATAGAGAGGTTTGGTAGCGGAGGAATGGCGCTTCTGCCTTGGACCAAACAGATGCTCACCGTGTTGTGGGAACAGCTTCGGCTGCTGGTTCAGGTCATTTACTACACCTTCATATCGGGTAAGACGAAAGTAAAATTAAAAGTTGGTGTAATGTTTTTTTAAATGTATAATCTCCGCCCCTCTGTACTGTCGTGAGGTCAAAGCGTTGTAATCGCCGTTCAGTCACTACATGACACTGTCCTTTTTATTAATACTGTAACGGCAGTGCAACATTATAACAACCCTTATGAATACCATATACGGTCAAACTAAGTGTTTATGTCCAGTTATCCATTGGCAGAGACAGGAGCTAGTTGTCATGTCGTGTTTACGTCCTAATCAAGTTATTAATTATCACTTAATGGTACTTCCAATGTAATTCAAGCAAGTAATTCAAAATATCTGTTTCCTCATCACCCAGCCCTGTGTTGGTTGTTTTATTATAATATATGATTTGCCTATTTAAAATGAGCAGTGACCAATAATAATAGTGATTTTCATGATGACCTAAAGGAGATTTGAATTTCAATCCACTCATAACATTGTCCTCCTGTTTTTTTTTTGTTTTTTTTTCCAGTTTTCCAGATGTTCAGGTTCGAGGTTCACGTGAGAATCACAGACGAGACAGGTCAGCACATCCAGCACATGAGCACGGCAACAAACCCAACTGAATCCTTCCTCTTCTCCTCCTTGTTTGACGGAGACAACGGAGTGATGGTTGGAGGTTCGAATCCCCTCTCTAACTTCTGTGCTGACGTCAGCGACCCGTTCACTGGGAAATCCACCGCTGAGGCCCTGCTGTCCAGTCTGCGCGCTGACGACCTGTGCTGCGGACTAGTGGACGACTTTGTGTCCAGAACAACTGGCAAAGAAGACGGCATCTTTCTAGGACACCAATCCAGCTGGAAAATGGGCTTCCCGGGCGACTGGAACATCTTTGTATCGAGCAGCGACAGCTCTAGTTCAAGCGACGCCTGCCATAAAAGCAGTGAGAAAGTTTTCAAACAGGACACTTCAGAAGAGGAGAGAAGCTCTCACTGGAGCAGCGAGGAAGACCAGAACGTAGTAGAATTCGACAGTGAGGAGAGTAAGGCTCTCTGGGAGTCCCTGTCGAAATCCAGTGATCCGTACAACCCCTTCTTTTTCTCTGCGTGCATTTCAACAAACACAAACATGGGGAAGAGTAAAAGCGAAGCGATGGGCAGCAGTGATACTGACCTCGTGTCAGTGAGCAAGGCCGGCGAGGAGATGTCGGGGCCCCGAGGCCTGAATATCTGGGTCAGTCGCTCCGACAGCGAGAGCAGTTGGAGCAGTTGGGCCAGTTCTGACGGTTCGAGCCCCGACATGGACGAGGAGAGCGAGAGGCTCTTGGAGTTTTTCAGCAGTCATGACCCTTACAATCCCATGTGTTTCACTGCATGCACAGTGAGCAGCACAACGCCTCAAACCACCACCACAGTCTCTGGAGAGCAGGCCGCACTTCCCGCACCTCCCCCCAAGTCGGACACAGACACTGAGGAGAGGGAGAGCAGCTTCCCTCCTTCCTCTGAGGATGACGAAGAAGAGCAGCTGTGGAAATCTCTCTGCTCAAAGGACGACCCGTACCACCCTCTCAACTTTCAGGCCTGCCTCCAGAGCTCCCCAGCAACCACAACAACAACAACAACAACAACGCTACAGTCTGGAGAAGATTCTGGTGCCCTTCAAGTCCACCACACAAAAAGTGTACCCACAAAGGGCAAGAAATGTGAAAAAGAGGCAAAAACACCCCGAAGACCGAGAGCCACTAAGCCCTCCCTGCCCGAAAGACATTTAAAGCATCACTCCCATCCAGACAAAACACTGGTGCCCTGGAAAAAGCCCAGACAAACACCTCAGTCACTGCCAGAGGAGAAGGAAAGCAAGGCCAGCAGCACCCAGAAACAGGTCATTATCTAATAACAGTTCATAGTTACACTGGCAGACAGGATTAGATGATGCACTAAATGAGACCCCTGTGGGGTTAGGAATAAAAATAGTCTACTCTGTTAATACTACAGAGCACTGAAAGAGGCCAGCAAGACGAGCGGTTAAGTGAACGTAACTTTATTTCATGGTAGACTAAACGGCTCAAATTGTAAGTCAAAAACATGTATTGGGATGTCAAGTGAAAACCAGATTCCTTTCAAAATGTCCGAGTATTCAAAGCTGAGTAATACAGCATTGCTTTATGGTAGATGACTGTTTTCCCCCCTCGGGCTTATCGGCCCAAGTAGATACAGAAGAGCATGTGATTAAGTTAATGTTTTAATTACAAAGGAGTGTTTTCTGCTCGCTTTTACAAGCTCCTGTGAACCACAGTATCTAGGATCAGGGTTCGTTCCTGCTTCAGTAGACACAAACTGTACTGAACAGTGTGTTAAGCTGAGTTGTTTGTTGTCGGTTAGCAACCCCGCTGGTCGTCATGACTAAGCCAGTCATGTGATTCAAACGAATCAGCAGAGAGTTTCACTTCCACATGGACTTAATGAAGTGGCATAGCCAATTTGAATACCGTGTGAGTTAAAGCACTGTTACATCAGACTGATTCTGATTACACACCTGTGTACCCCGTCACTGTTGTTGGGGAAAGTACGTTGTCTTCACTGTGTTTTTTAATTTGTAGGGTATTTTCTGGTAACGATCATTTATTTGAAGTTTATATATATCCCTAATAAACCCAATAGCAGCACACACACAGTACATATCATTTAACCATCAGTATGGTTTTAACAAAATGTATTGACTCTTTGTCTTAATCTCCTCTGCATTTCAGGTGCGATTTTCTCCTCTAGTCCAAGTCCATGTCATGCGGACCTGGCCATTTGCTCGACAGGCATCTCGTAAAGGACACTGGGAAGAAATGGTGCGAGACCGGGACCGCTTCAGGAGGCGGATCCAGGAAACAGAGCAGGCCATTGGCCGCTGCTTCACCCAGACCCACAGAGAGAGGATCCGGGCGTATCTGGACGGTGCCTTGAACTGAATAGAAATCCTCAATACTGAATGTTTTATTTCCTTTTCGGATGAGAACTTGTGATTGGTTGCAATGCAACAGTGATTTTGATTTAGGCCAATCAGAAATTTGTTGTTAGGCCAACTTTTAATATTTGGTGTCAAGTTGAACAACCTTGTACCTCAAAAGGTTTTATACATTGTGGGACTGTTGCACTGACTGACACTTTCTCATATTAACCTCAGCATTAATGTGTGGAATGTTTTTGTATGCCTTATATACCGATGACCTAGTAATGTAACTTATTTATGCCCTATGGAGCTTGTCATTTATTTTATTTTTTACTGTTTTTATGTGTTTTTCTATGTGTGAACAAACCACAGTGAAATCTAGAAGTTAAAAGTAGATGATGATATCATAAGAAAGCAGAGCTTCACAGTGCAAAGTGTCTTTGAGTTTTGTTTGAGCATGATGTATACATATAAAGTTCTGGTGCAGTTTTTTGTCTTATTGTTAAATTATTTTAGTTGTCTTGTGTTTTCTTATTCGATGGCACATAATAGCAGTGTGGAAATAGATATCTTTGTTATATTTGACGGGAAAGATTTAAACACTTTGTCCTATGTAACTCACGCCGCTTCTTATGGTAACATCCTGTAGCCAAAAATATATCAAAATCATCTGTAGCAAATTTGTTATTAAATGCTTTGTCAAATCAATAAAATGTGTTACACTGTCATTGTTCTTTGTTTTTCAGTTGCAAGAGGCACACAAGCTGTAACATAGATTTAACTAAAAGAGAAAAGCAAACAACACACAGCTTACTTTGAATTACGTGACAGTCTGCCATTTCCTGCATGGAGACAAAAGGTCCCAGAAGTATGTAAACACAAACACGCTAAGTCAAATATCTCAGGGGGTTGTTTTGTTTTTGAAGTAAACATGCATGCAATAGTGCACATATTCAGATGTTCAGAGGATTAAAACACATCCACAGTCTGCGGTTTCAGCTGTGAATACAGCAGAAATGTGCAGAAAAGCAGGACAAAGTCTGGATATTTGAAGTGACACATAGGCAGCACCTTCAGCCTCACCGTGGCCAAACAAATTAGTTTGACCTCTCATCCAGTTAGGACACACCCAGTGCGTTCAGCCTGGGTGTGTGAGGGTATGCACCTGTTCGCGACTTCCACCTGCGGTGACAATAAGGTAACTGCATAACCTTTGCTTTGTTATTGCGTTATACACACTGTACTGCACCTTCCATGGTCTACACTGATTTGGTGCTTTGCAAGTTAAAAGACATTAGGAGTCCTACACTAAAACTGAAAAGTCTTTGTCTCATTTAAGCATTATTTTCAAGTGTAGTCATTGAAACAACAGTTATATATAACCTAGCCCAGTTTTAAACTAAAGGTCGAGACTTCTTTCACTGCACTGGGTTGTGCAGTATGTCTGCAGTGTATTGCTCCTCATCACTGTGCCTGAAGCATTTAAGGTCCAGTTAAATGTCTGCAGTGTAGAAACACATCTGTACGTGGGTTTTTGCGTCCTTCATCCATCCTAACCCCTGCCTCTTTCTAGGGCTCCTTCATTGCTTCCTTCTCATGTGCCTTGTCTCTCTCTCTTTCTCTTGCTCCCCTCACCACACACACACACACACACTCAGGAGCATATAATTTCCCAGAGGGCTGTGAGTCTCCGTGCAGACTGACTGCTGTAAGGCTGTCGTAAGACAAGGGTTAAAAACACCAAGGATGATGAAATGACTTTCCAGAGAGATGAAATCAATTAGCAGGTCTCAGACGCTCTCCCCACACACCACCCCTCCTGTACACACACTCACTCATACACACATACACAGAGATGGTGCAAAGGTGAGCAATCGCTGACACTGTTGCTGTGTCAACCCAGCGGTGGGTCTTTTTGCTGATGATGTCCCCGCGTCCTCCCTCCCACATATTGTGTATGTAAATTGATCTCCTGCTGGTGTTGCACACAGAAAAATTATGGTTCTTTGTTGGCATTAGTGGTTTGAATTCGAGCCAAAGAAAACTCAAACATCCCTTTAATTGTTTAAAATATATTAAAAGAGTTCATACTAATAATTACCTGAAGCATTTTATACATTTCACAGCATAGTGGAGGGTCTATGATGTCCCTTTAGTCAGTCTTTCACCGCATCAGGAAAATACTCGGGTATGAAGCAAGGAAACCATTTTCAAGGAGTTGCCTTTAATCATTTAAAAGTCTGACTAAGGATAGCTATAAGATGCAACGACATCTGACCAGACATTCAACAAACCAGTCAGCTCAGAGTGCAGTCCAGAATATAAAAAATGATGTGTTTAAAAGAAACACAACAATGTATTATTCTATTATTATGTATTATTCTATTTATTGTTAAAGAGATGCCCAAAGGATAGACAGAGTGATATGCTGTACAGTTTGTAAAGCACTTTGAGGTAAATGGACCTTGAATCTGCTTACAGCCGTCACAACAGGGGTTTCCCATGATGCAAGCCTGTTGAACCATTTTAGTCAAGAGTGTATATTATCTAGACACTGTGCCTTTGTTCCTGGGGTTTGTGCAGCTGACTTTATGACATTAGCTGTGAGCTTAGAAGTAAAAAACAAACTCTAATATCTGTTTTTATATTTTGTGTGTGAGGACAAGGCAATGGGTGGTCCCATTTGTCTGTCTGAGCTCCCTCTGCATGCCATCCATGTTTCAGATTTAGCTGTTAGTGAAAACACCACAAGGTGCTTTTATCCAGAGCAGAGGACTTGGTATCCAGCTCAAGGGCACTTCAGCAGGACGCAGAATGTCTGCCAGAAGCAACTGAATGTGTGATTCCTAGTTACAGGATTAATATGCCACCTGCTCCTCCATTATCGCTCCCACTCCACACTCTTTGTATCTTTGTCTCCATCTTCTTCCTCCTCATCCTCTTCCAGTATCATTAGCTCTGTGGCCTAGGCGACCCCGTCTCCAGGCAACCGGCAGGAGTGGCGAGGCGTTGAAAGGATTGCAGGTGATTGCAGCAGCGGTAGAATCGGCAGCAGCAGCAGAGGCAGTGGGTTTTTAGCTGCACACACACACACACGTGGTTGCCCCTCTCACTCGCCTGCCTGAGAAGGGTATCTCCTGGGTCACAATTAGCTGATGATGCAATCTACCAGCAGCTATTGTTTCTCACACCGACTCATATAGAGAGACTGCACGAAATGCAAAAGGCAACAAAGCTAATCTTCCTGTGTATGGTACAGTAGAGATAACATGGAAAATACCACATATGAACCCCTGAAACTTCTGCAGAACCCACACCTCATCTGTCTTTTTATGTGTCATTTTGTTTCTTTCTTTTACACATTCTTTTTTTAAACATTTAAGTTACACTTTATTTTTATGAATTGCATTAACGTATATCCAATGCTTATGTACATTTCACAGTCAGGATCCTCAGGGGATTTATACTTTCACATAAATGCATCTGATCTGGCTCAGAGGCTCCAGAAGTCCTCAGCAGAATAAGGACTGACTTACAGTCACTATAAGAGGATTAATGAAAACAGCCATTAAGAGAATAAACACTATCATTACCATGCTGAACATTATTATGTCCACATATATCCAACTCACTCATTATGAGAGAGACAGTAAGACTAGTATGTGACAGCGAGACATGCACACGTACGTGGTAAACACTTATCTATTCCAACACATGGTCATGAGGATTAGTGTGTCTGACCAACACCCACCCAGGCTACACACAGAGCCCTTACTGTCAGTGGATTTTTTTGGTCAGTGCAGAATGGGTGTAGTGTTTCATTTGAGCCACTAGGGGGGGCAAACCTCTTATCTGGTACGTGACACAACACACATAATGTTTACTCAGGAATGACAGCAAGGGGAAGCCACAAAAGAGCAATAATCACATGTCAGCCTTTCCCCCATCAAACTGCAGGGGATTGTATTTGAGTCAGATTTATTGTATGCTAATTGAAATGTAAGTAAGAGGTGTCACTGTCTAACATTCAAGCAGTTACGTCCAAAATAACTGTTGTGAAATAACTTTTGCACTTTATTTCAATGTTATCAGTGATACACCAGATGCACTCACCACCCCTCCGCCCCAGTGCCAAAAAAAAACAACCTGCAAGTGCCCTCTTGGATGCCTCTATGGCAGATGAAACCAAGATGAAGTGCACTGTGAGATGCCCCACCAGTGGACAAAATGTGGTACGGTGCCCTAACCCTGACTAAGCTGATTCCCCTTGAATGCATCATGACTCCACCCCTGAGCCCATCATTCAAAAATATATAAATAGGTTAATTACATTTGTTGGGACTGTAGTCACTTTTGAAAAAGTTAACAGGTCTTTGGGTTTAGTCACGTTGACATCAAAATACCTCTTGAATGCATGTGCCATATTTGGAGCTTCCTTCCATACTCAGACTGCCATATTTGGACACACAGTGTCTGTACCTCAGACAATAACTATGTAACTCTGCTGCCCTCATGTGGGAAGACTGACAACATCAAGGCCAAAAGAAAAGGTTTTCAGTCACTTACTGTTCATTTGCCTTAAATTCAGACCTTTACAGTAAAAAAGATAGAAGCTCAGGGAAAGCCTTTCATCCTGCTGATCATTTATCAAGTGTAACTGTGTCTCCTGTATCTGTTAGAGCCAGTAGAATATGTAGACAGCTATAATAAGAATAAACAGGCCAGAAATTGATTTTGACTCCAAATAAAAAGATATTTTCATATTTTTATATTGCCCACCAAAACATTTAAATCTAATAATTTTACAACTTGCACAGTGGCTTCAGGACTCATAGATTGACTGTACTGGTCATGTGGAGGCAGTTGGAGAAGTGTTGGATATATTATGATAAGCATCAAATGTAATGATGCAAACTCTGCCCGCCTCTGCGTCAAAGCAACTGACCTCCTCTTTGTGTAAGATCACTGTACTAAAAAGGGGGAAAAAACATATTCAAATAAGGTCCACAAGAATCATGTAAACAGGGAAATCATGTTAGTTCAGCGGATTGAACAGAACAGCAATTACACTGTAATCCAATACACAACTAAGCTGCTTTTGGGGGATTCCCCCACTCTGATCTGGCTGATGGAGGAGCTTCTGACTGACCAGCAGCAGCGGTTGTCTGAGTAAAGAACTGAGCTTATGGTCACAAAGCCTTACATTTAAGTTTAGGAACTTCCTTGGATGATCTGGGTTGGCAGGGCATTAAACCTGCTGCAGTTGTTTGTTTTTGTCAAAATCCTAAGGAAGATGATTTGTGATGCAGGCTAATTCAGGACCTTATCTGGTGGGGTTGTTAAAGTGTTTCATCAGACAAATAGTCATGATGAAGTTTCTCATAAACTAAAAAAAAACTTGTCAATGTGACATCATCATCATCACCTATCAGACAGCGTGAATAAACAAAGATTGATGCGATGGTGCACAACCCTCAGACTGGTCAGAGTTTCCACTGTCAGTGGGGCTGCCCATGCTAAAGTTAGCTGCACTCATGCCATTGGGGTAAATGGGGAAGCTGAAGGTCCAGCAGACAGCTGTTCAGTCCTCACTCATTACATTAGATTTACCACCAGCAGCTGTGAATGAAACCTCTTGTATGAACCATATAGATGTGAAACGAGAATTCATGACTGACCTTTAACCCACATCTTATTTCTATGTCAATGGAACATGGGGACAAAATTG